AAATAGCCGAGAAACTTGAACTGAACAATGATTGTGCCCTTACGGGTTGCAATGGTGAAGTCAACTTTTGGCGGATCAGCCAAATTATTGCCGCGGGTCATAGGTCGCTGACCACTGATCTAGAGTTATGTTTTTAATTAGTTCAGTCATTATGTGGAATATAAATGATTATATCAATAATCTAGTATCTTTGTCCTACAGATCACACTTTAGCATTATTTTTGTATACTTTTATGATAAAAATTAGTATATCTGATATGTAAGAAAACCTTAAACTGCACTCACACAATTAAAACACAGCCTATATAACACACAATTAAAAAACAGCCTACATAAAACACAATTAAAAAACAGCCTACATAAAACACAATTAAAAAACAGCCTACATAAAACACAATTAAAAAACAGCCTACATAAAACACAATTAAAACACAGCATATGTAAACCACAATTAAAACACAGCCTATGTAAAACACAATTAAAACACAGCCTATGTAAAACACAATTAAAACACAGCCTATATAACACACAATTAAAAACAGCCTATATAACACACAATTAAAAACAGCCTATATAACACACAATTAAAAACAGCCTATATAACACACAATTAAAAACAGCCTATATAACACACAATTAAAACACAGCCTACGTAAAACACAATTAAAACACAGCCTACGTAAACACAATTAAAACACAGTCTACATAAACACAATTAAAACACAGCCTAAATAAAACACAATTAAAACACAGCCTACATAAAACAATTAAAAAACAGTCTACATAAAACACAATTAAAACACAGCCTAAATAAAACACAATTAAAACACAGCCTACATAAAACAATTAAAAAACAGTCTATATAAAACACAATTAAAAAACAGCCTATATGATTTTTTTACTTTACCTATACACACCACAACCACATTTCTATATATTTCTAAACACTTACGGCAACAGTGGATGTCCTGTCAATGTCCCTCACACTACGAATGAGGGTTTCTAAGATTCTCATAACTAGAATGTCAACATCCTGAGTAACTGAATGGTCAGAGAAACTTAAGGCACTGCTTCTACTAAGAGGTCGATTCTGTTGCTGCTGGTCCTTCTCCCAGTATAAAACTTTCAAGATCTCTCCCAACATGTCAGAACAAAGGCGTAGCTCTTGTTGGTGCGACATGTGGTCCTGAAGGTGCCATGCCAAGACTTCCAACAATTCCTGTCGACATTCTACAACCAACATTAATAATCAGTAAACATAAAACCCTTCAGAACAGAGAGATAGCTCTAGTTGGTGCAACAAGTGGTCCTGAAGGTGTCATGTCAAGACTTCCAACAATTCCTGTCGACATTCTACAACCAACATTAATAATTATTAAAAATAAAACCTTTAAAAACAGAGATGTAGCTCTTGTTGGTGCCAAGTCGAGTTCTCCAATGATTCCTGTTGACATTCTATGGTCAGTATCAAATAATTATTAAGCATAAAACTCTCCATGAAATTTATAAATTCCACATCTACCCTCAATAATAAAATAATAATAACAAAAAGCTTCTACTAATTACAAAAAATTACAAATTAAAATATTAAACTGATTCATAGGATAAAGCCAGTATTATCATAAAAATTAACAAATCAATACAAAAGTCAGCAAACTGCCATAGAAAATGAGTCATCATTTAGTAAATTAACTCGTATACGAAGTTAACTTTTTAATTTGTTCTGTGGCAAATATAACGTTTTTTCATGAACAATTTAAATAAATAGCACTGGTCATAACTTACTTTGTTTCAGAAAAATAGGAGACTTTACAATACAATGTAAACACTTCAATTTAGCCTGAACCAGAGGAATAGAAAGATCACCAGGTAGTTGCCCAACAGTCTCTTTAATAAGGAAAGTAACTTCCTGCACACTAAGAACTTCTAGTAGCTGCTCAAACACTGAACTAAGACTGTTGACTAGAGCCACCTACATACAAAGAAAAGCAAGAGAGAGAGAGCTATTCGACAAGTTTGTATTGCTGAATAAAACATTGCTATTAAAACATTGTTGTTTAAGACTCATAATGTAGGTAAATTAATATGTAGAATTATACATGGGCTTTTCTTTACGTTAAAATACTTTTACTTGCAAGCTTTCAGATCTCTTACCAGAGGCTTCATTGGGTAATAATGTACATTGTTGCCCAATGAAAGTTCCGGTAAGAAGGCCAAAAGCTAGCAAATAAAAGTATTTTAACGTAGAGAAAAGTCTGTGTACCATAGACTTTTTGTTGAGATTGGAGATTTTGAATTTCTAAGATAGGGATATCTCTCATACTTAATGACACTGACAAAAAAAGGAATATAGATCAAACTGGGGTACTAGGACCATCTGGAAAGAGACCTGCAACATTTATCTGTGGTAAGTAAAGTGTGGTGCCTTGTGATAGATGAGAATCCACATATACAAATTTCAGTGGCTAAAGCTGTCTACATGTCCTAAGCAAAAGTATGTATACAAACAAGAAGGATTTCCATCTGGTAAAATGGCCAACAGGATACGAGTTCATCAAGATAAGGCTCTAGTCAATATCTACATTTCAAAATTCTCATTTCCCAGACACCTGGAAAATGAAATAGGTATTCTTGCTATTCTATAAGAAAACCAATTAAATCACCAGATTCAGCACCTGTGGTTTTCTGTGCAACTGGACTTTTGAAATTGGCACCGAGAAACTATCATCCTAGTGTACTAGATGTATTATGGAATATAGCAGTGACGAGTGGTGTGCTTTGAACATGATAGCCTTATGATGGAACTTTTTGTAATGGAAACTATGCTGAATGATCATCAGATGGAACTTGACTGGACATCTCGACATGCACTTTAGAAACATGGTGAGGTTCCAAAATAATTTTAATACAATGTACTAAACCATCTTATATCGTATAATTCAATACAACTCTTACACATAAAGAAAAATCAGTGAGATTGCTTTAGCTTTTCTCAGCCTGACAAAACAATTTTGTTTGGCTCAGGAATTGTTCACTCTACAATTTTTCTTTAAACTTTACATCTTCAGTGGTAATGAAAATTGTTATTTCAATGCACGAACTAACTTCTCAAACTTCCATGACTGCAGGGCGGTACTGGTTGAATTAGAACATATAAGTATATTTTATACAATTAAGATTTTCATTCTGTTTTTAAAAGGTGTAAATAATTCACCAAAATCAATTAATTTACTTACATCTGTCAACTAAGAACTAAACAAGTATGCTTTCCAAGACATATTTAATCTATTTGTAATATATATGTATGACTAATTGCCAATCACTGTGCTTATAAATTTAAAAAAAACACTTAATAATTTATGTAAAATGTGAAGTTTCTTATTGTGTAATAGTTTTGTAATATCTTTATTACAGTATTTACAATAATGTACCAAACACTAAGTACCGTGTGAGGAATTGTAATCTCACAGTTTTATATAGGCTGTGTTTTAATTGTGTTTTATATAGGCTGTTTT